TACACTATAGATAGTGCATAATTATTCTGCAATTCAAAAATTGAAGCCGTGATTGCAGACTCGGGATATTCCCATGAAACGAGAAGACTCGTATGTTTTCTATTTCTTAAACAGGGGATTTAACATTAAGTTAAACCTATTCCAAATACATTTTCAAACTATTCAAATGATGAAAGTTATTGTTATCTTTCAAGCGTTTATTAGCGAGTGGGAAACTTCAACATGATCGCCATCTATTCAAATGGGGGTAACCGTTGGAATATTCTTGGCTTTAATTTTACTAAAAGAGATGCGCTATCTAGTGTATATAAGATATCTATGGATAAAATAGTCTAGGCTAAGTATGTAATTAGATAAGCGTATAGATTTGCGCCGTATAGCAAACCCCAGTCAGACCAGTCCGGAAACGGTTTGTGTTCTATTTGACAATTTGATCAACCTGGTTAGCGCCCTATAGCTTAGCATTTGTTCTAACAGCCTATAGCTATAGTGCAACTGGTAAAACTATTCGTGCAGATGAGAGTGTTTGTGCAATATTCGCATTCTGTACATGCATTGCATGCATACAAATAATGTACTGTACGTCTGTACATGTATTGCCTATATGTAAAACTTGCATTATTCATGCTACCTAAAGTTTGGTATACAAAACTTAATTAACCAACGCAAACAAACCGTTTTGCAAGGCGGATATTGCTTGAATTCCAGCGGTGTAAGCGTGCTATTTTAACTCGAACTTTAAACAAAGACAACAAAAGCTTTTCAAAGCATGTACATACTTAATAGTGGGATTATCGAAGTGCCAAAATGCCCTATATCGCCAGAAATCCTGCACAGAACACAAGCATAAAGATTACTAAAGCCAAAAAGGCGAGCTTTACAATGGATGGGTAGTATCGTTGCCGCAGATTAACTTTACATAGGAAACACTTCATGAAACACACTGTGTATAAATATTGGTATATATAAAAAATGTATCACTTGAACTTCGGGAAAAATTTAGCAAATTTACTGGGCTTTTTCTTCAATAATAGATCGTATTTTTGAAGTTGGCCAGCATAATTCTGCTTTCATGGTTGCTGCATGAAACCCTCTAATGGTATTTAGTCGACTTAGCGCACTATAGTTTCTGATTTAACAAAGTCGTGTCCTTGTGCCAACATGATAAGCATCGTAAACTCAGCGGGGATACAAACACCCCACAGCTCTCATTCTTCAACGTGACACACCCTGCGGTTTCGCGCACAAAAAAGGTCGATTCAAACACTCGATAGTGCAGTGTTCCCATCACTGACCTACGCGACTTAAAATTATACGCCTTGTGCAGGATTCAATTTGATGGGGTTATTACCACGATAAGATATGCAAAACGTTAAGTAGCAAGAACTAACACTCTTTATTATGATTAAGACCGTGATGCATGGCAGCCTTTGCTGAGGCGAGAAGTGCATTTAGAATTGGCGTGGTTTGTTCACCAATAATTTGCTGGTAATGATAAATATTTTGACCATGTGGAAACTCGAGAAAGTATTTCTTATCTTGGCCGCTGTGTTCCTGTCAAGTGGTAAAGCGAATGGTGCCAGAAATGATGCATTAAACTTCAAAGGTCAGACATCTAAAGTAAATTTACATTACACTCGTTTATGTTAAGGTCAAACTAAGGCACGAAGTAGTTTTAGATTGATTTGAACAGTAATTAGATGTCACGGGATGTAGTATTTTGTATTCTTTGTAAGTTTGAATAATGATACCGTGACTTAGTTAACTGTGATAGTATTTAAAATTAACTAAAATATATTTAGTTGACAACTTCACAAATAAGTATATATAGGCTACTTATATACTGGATGTAGAGAAATTCCTATATTAAACTATATATTTCTCTAAACGAATTCAATGTATTCCTCAGCCTTCCCCTTTGTCTTAGGATTATTAACGCAATCTTACTGTGTTAAGCTTAAAAGAAGTCATGTTATTGGACGATGGTTAAGAAAAGACGTAGTTTATATTTTGATATGTTTTGCGTATACCATGCAGTCACAGTTTATTTACAGAAGCCTCGATTGCATTAAGAGTTTTCAGTACCAGATTTATTTCATCTTAAATATATGAACTATATAGGCACTGAGCCAGGATAGAACATTTGCATATAGCCTTTAATGATGGTTCATATTCTATTACTGGTTTTCCTAAAATTTCATATATAGCATACCTTTCAATATCAGAAAATTGTGAATTGAAAGGTATTCGAGACTTAAAAATACAAGGATAAAATTTTAAGTTTTACTTGTATTTTTCCGGTAGTTACCTGATCCATCCTACTGTACAGACCGTTTCAGTTTATACCTTTTCATATATTTAATATAAATTCAAAATTGAAAGTTTTCCTTTAACTTGTGCGAGTAGTACTAAAATGCTGGCACAGACCAAATTTTCACATGTAACTTCTTGACATTTTGTCCTAAATTATTTTAATAAAATACTAGAAGATAGATAAGAAAAGATGGTAAAACGGCATGTGGACCATGACATCGCTCAAGATCTGACCAATTAACTCAAATCTTGCATAAATAATTTCAGTGCATATAAAAAATGCTTGTGATTAAATGACCGCCAGAAATGTATAACCTTAAATTTGCGTGCATGACCTTGCATTAAATTTTATTTATAGTAAGCAGCTTTGTGTATATAATTAAGTTTGATAAAATCGGAGAGTTATGTGAGAAAACGACCCGAACATATAAAGCACACGAGAGTTAACCATGATTGTGTAAGGAATGTTTTGGGTCGGAAATCTACTGTTTGTCTTTCTCAACATTGAATCATTCGAAAATTTCCGTTAGCACACAAAAATTTGCATGATATTTAATCATTTCAATTGAATTCTTTGTTTCCATTTGCCTCAAGGGGAATAAGAAGAAGAATATATGAAATCATTGGGAAACTTGAGGATGTTTTTCAGGATCTCCCGGCAGGGAGAATACAACATTCACTGATACCAGTGGACGCCACTGGAGTCATATCCTGCATAAATAAAGCTTCATCATCAGTTCAAATCATTATAGTTTTAAAACTGCTTTTTATAGTATCGGGAAATCATTTTTGTATTATAATCCTCTTATGGGCAATGCACATGTAAACACTTCAGTTCAGTCATGCTATTACTTCGATGATGCTTGAAAAATAACGGTACATTGATTCGTAACCATCGTTTGTACGCTCGTATCTGTCTATAAACATATCCGCGATTGCACTTTGCCTTAGGAGGTTGCATGCGTTAATTTTCGCAAATTAACTGTTATAAATTTTATTATAACATAAAAAATACTGAACGAAAGGCAAGACAGAAAGGCTAGAAAGATAAAAACAGGAAGTTTATATATTTCTATTGCAAAAAATAGATCTCGATTAATAAAACGATTGATGTTTTGCAGATCTATATAGGGAATGGATGGAATTTATTTCAAGCATGTTCTGGAAAAGAGTTCATTAATCGAGTCAGTGATTTTGACCACATACATCAATATATTAGAGTCCATTAGCCATATCTGATAACCTAGATCGTTTGGGAAAACAAAGATATTGTACTCGCACTTTAATGTGGAGGACACCAGAAGGATCATTTAAGGAAGTGAGAAATGCCACTAATACCAGAGATTGCAGAATAAATATATAGATTTGAGAAATTTTGTTTGTTCTTAATTATTCATTATCTAGTCTTAAATATATAGAAAGATGTTAAGATCAAAAATATTTTACCTATTTAAGGAGCGAAGCCCTTAATTTTCAAAAGTGCTTTTAGTGCATGAGTAATGTCTAAAAATAATTACAAAGCTTTCTATAAGCTGCAGTCATATCCGATACATATATTCTGACATATTCATCAATTATACTTTTATTCTTGCTCAAAATTGAATTGCTTTTCCATATGTTATTTACTTTAAAGTTGACTTTCTAAACACTGTTTGTAGTACTTGTGATTTTTTCACCATTTCTTTTGAGAAAAACAGTGGAAAATGTTTTTGATCAAGTTTCTATCTGATCCTGAAGAGTGCTTACGTTTAAAATTTATTAGAAGTTACCGTCAAAATGTCAACCCCCCCCATACATATAATTCTATATAATAACTACAAACCATTGATTATTCCAGATGTTTCAAAAAGGTGTTATTTCTACTTTTTGACCTACTTCTTTGCTATATACTAACTACCCATGCACGTAAAAATCTCACAACTTCTCAACAAGATGTGTTCGCAACGTATAGGCTTGTATATAGCAAGCTTGTCAACAAGTTGTAACAATGCTGTTATTTTATCAAGTTGCTACAAGGTTGTCACTCACAACTTATTGACAAATTGTTGCATTGCAGAACGATAACAAGTTGTTGGAACAACTTGTGACTGTCTTGAGTCTGTTGAGCTCAACAACCTTGTAACAAGTTGTCAACAAGCCGTTGACAACTTGTCAACAAGCTGGGAACAATCAATGCGAACACATCTTATTGACAAGTTGTTGGAACTGAGCACTGCTACAAATATGCTGCAGGTTTGTTACATCTTGTGCGTTGTACGTGTGTATAACTCAGTAACCATTAACTTTCCTAGATGTTTCAAAGAAATGTTACTTCTGCCTGGGACAAGAGAAAGATGTTGACAACATTGCAGCTTGCTCGACGGACAACAATCTTGATGTCGAAGAATGTCCGTTAGAAGATCTCTTTGATAAATGCGTTGTTGTTCAAGCTTTCTCTCTTAGCAAAAACACAACTATCTTTAAAAGAGAATGCACATCTCGAAGATTGTGTGAAGAAAGAAGGATCTGCTCTGATCCGGATTTCTCAGACTGCCGATACGAGTGTTGCACAGGGGATCTTTGTAATAGTTTTGGGTTTACCGACGATATCGATGTTCGTCCAAAAATACCACAACCAACAGTTGCTGGGACAACACGGAAGTACCAGGAACTAGTACCATCGGAAAGTGTTGAAAATGTTGTGACAGGAAATGTTAAACAAACTACAGTTGTGCCTGAAGTTACGACACAAGGTGGTTCAACTGGTGAACCTCCAATCACAAGACAAAGTTCAAGCACGACTTCAAATACAAATCAAGGTACACTAAACCTCTGTATCTGTCGCAACTAATTGAAAAAAAGTCCCATCTCAATTGTCCTCTTTAAATGGATTAAAGCCATATTACAAGGACGAAGGGCCTTCATTTTCCAAGAAGTTGAATCCCTCGCACAATCAGCAGCTTTCATGATTTATTTGGCCGTCATTTTGCATCTTATTTCTTTCATTTTTTCATTCCTTAAGAGCATGTTATGTTATGTTATGTTATGTTATGTTATGTTATGTTATGTTATGTTATTGTTATGTTATGTTATTGTTATGTTATTGTTATGTTATGTTATGTTATGTTATGTTATGTTATGTTATGTTATGTTATGTTATGTTATGTTATGTTATGTTATGTTATGTAAAGAAACTGTCGGCATAGTATAGAGTCTATAGAATACGGTCATGCTCACAATTTCCCTATGACTACTTTTCATAAAACACGACACTGTATCCCAAACTGTGTTGCAAGTTGCAGCAGAAATTGCCTCGTGCAACATGGCCTTTACATTATATTGATTCTTACTTTGTTTTTTTTTTCGTGGAAAGAAAAACCTCAAGAAATTGTACCAGTCGTTGAAGAAGGTCAGTAATCAATACGCTTAACTTTATTTATTGCGAGGTCCATATTCCTATAGTTTTCCATTTTTTTCAAACATTTTTACCAACGGTTGAAAAATTCATTATCTGTATGGGGAATGACGCTAACAGCCTTCGTACGACCAACCCTCCGCTTTAGAACCTTCTAATTAATAAGCTTTTCCAAAATGATTTATTTCACTCAGTAATTTATTTATTTTATTAAAGACTTAAATTAAATGATTTATTTATTTTACTACTTTTCATAAAACACGGCTTTTCATAAAACATGGCTCTGTATCCCAAACTGTGTTGCAAGTTGCCGCGTGCAACATGGCCTTTACATTATATTGATTCTTACTTTGTTTTTTTTATATCGTGGAAAGAAAAACGTCAAGAAATTGTACCAGTCGTTGAAGAAGGTCAGTAATCAATACGCTTAACTTAATTTATTGCGAGGTCCATATTCCTATAGTTTTCCATTTTTTTCAAACATTTTTACAACGGTTGAAAAATTCATTATCTGTATGGGGAATGACGCTAACAGCCTTCGTACGACCAACCCTCCGCTTTAAAACCTTCTAATTATTAAGCTTTTCAAAAATAATTTATTTCACTCAGTAATTTATTTATTTTATTAAAGACTTAAATTAAATGATTTATTTATTTAATTTTTAGGATGCGAGGATCTGGATAGTTTTTGTCCAACTTACGTAACTAATCCTTCGCACTGGCCAATGTTCTGCAAAGACAATGATAAATACACTTCAATTGCCTGTCGAAAAACTTGCAAATTTTGCATATCACGTTATGAAGGTACGGTTAAATTGCCCTTTTGTGTATTGATCAAAATTTCTGCGTTGTGTTGTTGTATTCAGGGACGCCGGAACTGGGGGGGGGGGCAGGGGGGGCAGCCACCCCCGTTGCCCTTTACCAGGAGGGGCAAGGGGGCAAAGGTGCCCTTTCAATTTAAAGGATTGCCTTGGCGAAATAGCGAATTGTCAGAAATGTTAGTACAATTCTTTTACGAATTTGCTTCAGAAAACGCAAGAAATGCAGTCATCGAGCTTCAAGAATAGCACAATCGCCTGGCGGAGAACCCCCTCACACCCCTATCATCCAATAAATAGAAAACATGATTAGGCGAAGTTCAACTCCCGATGTTTTGCAAACATCTCTTAGTATATATCATTCAAAAGTGCCCTTTCACGAAAATCTCCCCCCCCCCTTGCCTTCACATCGTTCCGGCGTCCCTGGTTGTATTTATTTTTACATGATATATATTTTGATGTAGTTGAAGCCGCGAAGAAGCTGACAACACAAAGACCTAGAGGAACCCCGACTTTAGAAGGTAGGAAAATGAAACCTTCCTCAAAGTAGTGTTCTAGTATGTAGGTAGTATTGAAAAGATAAACTTTTCAATTGAAATTTTTCACAGCTTCCTAAAAGAGATAAAGAAAATTTCAATGACAAATCAAACCTATTCCAATTTTTTGTACACATACCATGATATACCATGACATATATGCAAGAGAATAATTTTTCCACATATAAACTGTTAGATTGTAAAGACCAACTGTCAAACTGTCAAGAGCTGAAAGCATTGAACTACTGCCGTCTTATGGCTGAGCATATGAAAAGCGAATGTGGAAAAACGTGTGGATTCTGCTCAAGCGGTGAGTCGCATGTTATACTAAAGGTTGAAATAATTTAAAATTTGCATAGCATGATGAGTTGATATGGCTAGCTTCGCCACTGGTTGCCATGGTTATTTTGTTACTTTAGAACCAATTGGAACCGGGATTACTGTTACAGAAAAAGTCATGACTTCAGAATCAGTTGTCACAGAAACAACGATGAAACCATCAAAAGGAAAGCCAGTTAACACTGACTTCCCAGATTCAGTTGTCACAGAAACAACGATGGAACCATCAACAGCCAAGCCAATTAATACTGACCTCCCTACGACCAGCACGAGAGATGAAACAACATCAGAACGTGCAGAAACAACATCACCTACAGCTTCAGGTCAAGTACAGTCTGGTGTTAAAGCTCCACCAACTTTAGAAGGTGAGCTTTGTTCTCAGTAATATCTCCAAGTTCGGAGGGATCTTGTTTTCATACTAGTACAGACAGACAATCTAAGAACAGCCTTCACACCTTTTCTTACTTATATTCTTTACTACATTCTTTATCTTAACAAGATTTTACAGTTTTCACTTGAGGGCACAAGGAAAACTTTCGTATTTTCGTATTAATACTTTTGATATTTTTTACGTTATCGTGCGACAGACAAGCATTCAAAAATAGACACACAACAAACGCGGACGAAAACATACCTTCTGGCGGAGGTAGTGAATGAATATAGGAAAAGATCAATGATAATGATGTATTATTATCTCAATGCAAAGTATTATTATAAAACTAGTGGTCGTAATAAAATTATGATCATTTTTGTTTAAAATTTTTGTTTTAAATCCCCAGGCTGCCAAGACAGGGGAGATAACTGTGTTAAGTTAGAAGCAATGGATTATTGCAGACTTATGACGGCCTTTATGGCAACCAACTGTCGCAAAACCTGTGGACTTTGCTCAAACGGTAAGCTCCAACGTACTGTTGGGACTTAGGAATTGTCCCTGGTTTTTGCAGGGAAACAAACAAATTACTTACTGCAAAGAAAACAAACAAATTCTTACTGTGTTTATTTTTTTAAATAGACACACCAGAACCAAAGACTACGGAAAAATCGACACATTTACCTTCTACACACGTGACTTCAGAGAAATTGACAGAATCTTCACCAGAGCCAACCACGGTAATGACGTCATCAAGTATGTCAGCATCTACGTCACAACTCACTACATTGGTAGCAACGACAGAAAAGACTCTAAAGCCTAGAACGTCTTCAACTGCTGAGCCTATGCCACAGCGGACATCACAGATTCCTTCTGAATCAAATGTTATTCCACCGTTCAAGCAAACTCAACCACCAAATAAAAGTAAAATATTATTTTATTCATTTGGAATTAGAAAGACACATAGACAAATATATATTCTAACTTGTTCCTCAACCAATTTATAGGTTGCGTTGACAAGAGGCACAGATGTGCAGAATTTGCCAAGAGAGAAGGTTATTGTGATTATCATCATGATTTCATGCAACGAAATTGTCCTAAGTCCTGTGGGTTTTGCTCGCCAGGTAATGGCCAAATAGGTTTTTTGTATGGTCGGTTTAAAGCAATACTTTAATTGTTTTGTTTCATATAAACACGATGTTTACTTAGGGACCGGTCATTAATAATGGGAGGGGGGCGGTGGGTGAGAAAAGGGGGGCGGCTTCAACTATTTTTGCCTGAATTGGGGGCGGCCTCAAACAGAAAAATATGTGACAAAGGGCAAGCCTTTATCGTATCCCACAAAATATTTCAGCCTTTTTAGTTCCTATAATCGTAGTTTCCATAGTTTATTACGTATATGCAGTTCACCATAGGAGTCGGAGTAAATAACAAACATTTGGTCCTCTAATTATTTAGGCTACACAATGTCTTACGAATACTGGTCCTCTAATTATTTAGGCTACAAAATGTCTTACACCAGTACTTGTCCCATTACCTATTTTACACCAAAACTGATGTAACGAATTAAATGTTGGAGTGGGAGAGACCTAAATTTCCTAGATGAAGGTGGGGGCATCTTGAAAATAAAGGTCTCGCGATCGGGGGCGGCTTTAAAAAATGTTCAATATTTGGTATTTATCACCCCCCCCCCCCTTCCCATTATTAATAACCGGTCCCTTATTTGACAAAACCTTCGATTGGTTTCATATCTTATGCAATACGGACGCAAATGTTTAATTATAGCTTGTATATTGATGAAAGCGTTTTTATCCTTCAATAGTCCTAAATACGTGAATGATATTTGATAAGAAAACTCAACTTAAAGTTTATGTAAATCAGCCGGATTTTGTATAAGATATTCTTTACAGTTATTCTCCCGTTTTCTCCTTAATAAACTGTATTGTTTATGCTTCGTGTACAATAGGGGGTTAAGGATAGGTTTGTGATTGGAATCAATATCAAATAGAAAGTATTCCTGCACAAAATGTAGAGAAATATTATTACCTTCATGTGCGCCTGCAATGCTAAAACAGGTAAACAAGAAAACGCCCAAAAATATTGAAATAAACAAAGTCTATATATTATTACTAATAATATTACTTGAAGCTTCCTGGCTTACGTATCGAAAGCTTAATTACCAAATGAGTGAACGCCGTGTTTGCTGCACCAAACAAAACGGCAAATATATAAACCTTTATGATTCCTGCTCTTCATGCACAGTTCATGATTCATCTTATTTTCATATTTTATTTCAGGTGTTGCGGGTGGTCCAACTTCTAGAGTAGTAAAGACAAGCCAACCCACACCTTCTGAAGAAATGATAACTACAGTCACAAAGTTGCCCACCAACCCTGAAACAACTTCAAAACGTACAGATAGGATCACAACGAACCCTACTATCACAGAATTACATGCTACAGAAAACATAACAACATCACCTACAACGTCAGGGGAAGTACAATCTGGCGTCACATTTCAACCAACTTCAGAAAATGATGGTGAGCTGCACTCTTATATCCAGGAGCGGAATAACCTACCGGCCTCCGCTTCTCTACAATTGGGAGTTGGGAGGGCCATTGATTTCATAGACAGACAATCTAGAGACAGCCATCACACTTTGTAACAAACTGACCAAAATACAATATCGTAGTTAAGTAGTATGTTTCTTCTCTTATATATTTTTACTATATTCAGCTTTATCTTAACAAAATATTACAGTTTTAATGGATGAATATAGGAAAATATGAGTGCTTATGATATATTATTATCGCCAGTAATAAAACTCATAACTAGTGGTCGTAATGAAATTATAATTCTTCCCTCTTTTTGTTTAAAAACTTCAGTTATAATTCTTCCCTCTTTTTGTTTAAAAACTTCAGACTGCCAAGACAAGAGAGATACATGTGTTTCTTTGAAAGCAATGGATTATTGCAGACTTATAGCGTCGTTTATGGAAAACAACTGTCGCAGAACCTGTGGACTTTGCACAAAGGGTAAAGTTCCCACTGTTTGTCAGGAAAAAACTGTATTTTCTTATGTTACTTTTGTAGCGTGTTTGTAACTTATAAATTATTCCTGATATTTTACAGCCTGTACAAGAAAAACAAACAAATTACTTACTCTGTTTATCTTTTTAAATGACATTCAGTCAACGTTCTTCCGAATGTCGTGGGTTTTCTCCGGGTACTCCGGTAATTTTTAAAAAAATTCTCCTGTTTGTATTAAGGTGGCACCAGTGGTTCAGTTTCAAATACTACAAAACCAGTGACAACATTGCCTCTTGTGGAAACAACTCCAGAACCAAAATTACCGGCTGGTCCGGATGCTTTTACGTCAGACCTTTTACCAGAAGTGACGACAAAGCCATCAGTAGTTACGTCAGAGCTAAATCCTGAAGTTACGTCACATAAAACTACGTCAAAACCTACACCAGAAATTACGTCACCGATAACTACGCCTGAAGTCACACCAAACATAACCTCACGATCAGCACCAGTGGTTACGACAGAACCTTCTGCAGGGCCGACCTCGAAAACATTGTCACCGACTACGTCGGCAACTACGACACAACTTACTACATTGGAGCCGACATCAGAGCCCAAAATGTCCACTTCTAAAACCACAGTTAAACCACAACCTACGTCCAATGTCACCATTGTCACTAAAGGTAAGTTACCCAGTAGATCAGCATGTTATGCTCTACCAATTCACATTTCCGGCTATAATTAATTTAAGATCTTCATCAGGGAAACATGATGTTATATATTATTATTACCTCTGGGGCTGGTTCTACCAAGGCTGGATATAGATATCCACGGATGATTTTTCAAGATTTCGAAAACTATCCGTTGATTGGTATAACCCAGATTAAACTTTAGTATTTGTAAAATAGAGTTGGGTTTTTAATTGTGAGTCCATATTCGTGTTTTCACAGATTTTCAAGCCTTTTTACAACGGTTCAAGAAATCACTATCTGGGGGATAGCGCGGTCTCCGTGCCATGTGAAAGTAGAATTGAACAACAGTAACTAAGGGCTGGTTATTCAAAACCCGATTAGCCTAACCCGAGTTTAACCTAAATTTTAAAACCAACTTCCAAACAGCTTGTTTGTGAATTTTGAAATATTTCTTTAGAAATCTTGTCTGGATCAGTAGGAGTTTTCTTCTCTGAAGTTTTGAAATAAACAGACGTGCAGAAATATATAAACTAAAACAGCAGGTTTAATTTTAATCTTGGGTTAGCACCCCAGTATTGAACAACCGGTCCCAAGCATTTAAATTTTATATGTAAACGAAATGATAGCAACAGGATATTTATTATGTCTATAGTAATTTCATGAATGCAGTGTGCTTAAGATTACTCGTATTCGCATTGCTACAAACAGCTTTCTCTTTTTCAGACTGTTATGACAAGCGAAAGGAATGCGCCAAGTTCGCAAAGTATCCTGGATATTGTTTTTACACTAGAAAATTCATGATTAAAAATTGTCCCAAATCGTGTGGTTTTTGTACTGATGGTAAGAATTTACGATATTTACATTACAAAAAATGAAAATATAATGCACATGCTTTGTACTAGTTAGAATTTTTTCCAATGGGTGGGGGCACATTTTCGCCCGCGGGGGGGGGGGCAGGCCCCATGTAGAGTTCTCCCTACTTTTATGTATTTTTCCAATGAAAAAACTGTTAATTTTGATCAATCACTTAAAGTGTAGCGACTTCAGTGGCGCGATCGTCAGAGCATAGGTCAGAGCAAGAGTCTTTACTTGTGAGATCGTCGGTTCGAATCTCGTTCCGGATGACATTCAGTCAACGCTCCACCGAAAGTCGTGGGTTTTCTCCGGGCACTTCTGTACCTTTTTAAAAAAATATTCTCCTGTTTGTATTAAGGTGGCACCAGTGGTGGTTCAGCTTCAAATACTACAAAACCAGTGATAACATTGCCTCTTGTGGAAACAACTCCAGAACCAAAATTTCCGGCTGGTCCGGATGTTATTACGTCAGACCTTTTGCCAGAAGTGACGACAAAGCCATCCGTAGTTACATCAGAGCTAACTCCTGAAGTTACGTCACATAAAACTACGTCAGAACCTACACCAGAAATTACGTCACTAATAACTACGCCTGAAGTCACACCAAACATAACTTCACGACCAGCATCAGTGGTTACGACAGAACCTTCTCCTGGGTCGACGTCAAAAACACACACCAAACATAACTTCACGACCAGCATCAGTGGTTACGACAGAACCTTCTGCTGGGTCGACCTCAAAAACATCGTCACCGACTACGTCACCAACTACTGGGTCGACCTCAAAAACATCGTCACCGACTACGTCACCAACTACGTCACCAACTACGTCACCAGCTACGACACAACTTTCTGCAGAGCCGACCACAACGACAGAACGTCCTACAGAGCCGACCACAACGACAGAACGTCCTACAGAGCCGACCACAACGACAGAACGTCCTACAGAGCCGACCTCAAAAGCATCGCCCTCAAACAAAGGTGAATAAGTACAGAACTGATAGAGCTAACCAGTATAAATAAAGTTAGTTTAGTTTAGGTCTCCCCCTACTAACACTGGACCATTGATATGTTGACATTTAGATGCAGAGAAATCGGTCGAGATCTAATTTGACCATAGATGCAGTATCTCCAATGAAATGAAGTCATTCATTTTTCTTTCAAATAGAAGGTGAAAAATACGACGTTGTTTTTGTGATTGGCGCAAGACAGCCTAACGCTTCAGAATCTTTTAACCAACAGAAGAAAATTGTCCAAAAGATATTGAAAAAGTCAACATTAACTGACGCTCGGTATGGTCTGGTAATATACTCCAATGAAGGGCAGGTCAATTTCAGAATAGACAATGCTGTACCTAAATCGATTTTAAATGAGTTATTAAATGTAATACCATGGCAAAGAGACGGCTCTCGGGTTGATAAAGGAATCAAGAAAGCCTTGGAACTGTTTGGAAGTCGCCCTGAAGCAAAGCAACGTATTGTTGCATTTATAAATAGCCCTTCAGACGCATCTTATAATGAGACGAAAGAGATACGTCGAGAGGCTGAAAGCAAGGGGGTTAAACTTATCGTTGTGGGCATGGGCAGAGGATATGATACTGGGGAATTTCTTAATATGGCCCCGAATTATGAAGAACGTGTTTTCTTTGATGGGACTGGATCGAGTGACGTCGCGAGGGAATTGGAACAGGCAACTGTTGACACGATAGAAGCTTAATTATTTTAGGTAATTGTTAATTAGTATAGGTAATCATGCGATGGCGAGTACAATTAGGTAATTAGTATAGGTAATCATGCGATGGCGAGTACAATTAGGGATTAATAGTACGAGTGATGTTTGGAAATTTTGCCAATTGTACGAGTGATGTTTGGAAATTTTGCCAAAATTGGACGAGCCGCCGGGGCGAGTCAAATTTGGCAAATTTCCAAACATCACGAGTACTATTAATCCCTAATTGTACGAGCAACATCGCATGATTACTTGTTTATTATTAGCATATGACAAAATTGGATACTTCTCCGCGTCAACATCATATTCTCTCGCCAAAGCCCAGTCCTGCCAGACTTTCAACCAAAATTTGGTACTTTTGTTATTTTTTGGTATTTTCACTTAGTTCCTTTGTTAAAGCAAAATTTGGTGCTTTTGTTCGTATTTTCATCTAGTTCCTCAAGGGCAATTTCATTTCACATTTGTATTCAAAATACCTTTCCGCCATTTTGTTTGTTTTGGGAAAATCATTAATTGTACTGCAGTACAATTAATGAAATAATTGCACTCCTCTCAACCAATCAGCATCCAGTAATTTTGTCATGCTATCCAGTAATTTTGTCATGCTAATAATAATGCTAGGTAATTGCTAATTATTCTATGTAATTGTTAATTATGCTAGGTAATTGCTAATTATTCTAGGTAATTGTTAATTATGTTAGGTAATTGTTAATTATGTCTAGGTAATTGTTAATTATGTTAGGTAATTGTTAATTATGTACTTTAATTATACAAAGTTAATGTTAATGTTAATAATAATATTTTTCTGGTTGATGCTGTACATCAAGTGTAATATATAATAATCGTGTGTTATAATTTTATGTAAAATTGTTCCTCGATTTTAATCATAATTCCATAATATTACCATATACCATTCACGTTACTAACTTGATTTCTCTTACTATGTGAAAGAAGACGAAACAGACTCACAAGGGGGTAAGAATGAAAGTTATTCATCAATGTATAAAGACTCTTTCCAGGATAATTTTTAACACAGTGTCATATTCTTGTGACGTTTTATAGGAATTCCTGCGCCAGTTGAGGTGATTGTTATTGTTGGACCTACGAATTCTACGATTGCCAAATTTGGTAAGTATTATTTATCACGTCTCAAAAATATTTGCCGGCTTTCCATATAAATGTACATGATTAGGGTTAGTATTTCGAAGATTATTAGGAATGGTTTAAAGTATAAGAATCGAAATGGCTGTATGTGAATATTTGTTAATACACTCGATTGTAATGTATTGTTTTTCAGGGGACACATTGAGATGGAAGATCTGGCCATGGAGCAAGGTTCTTTGATAAATATTCATGTTAATTATTTATTATAATTATTCATTAAATGCTCTTACAAAACTTACAAGTCGACAGGTTGAGCTGTGTCCTCCATTATTCAGCTCAGCTCTCGGCTTCAAGTAAGGACGATCGGCACACCTCCCCTCCCCCCCTTGTAACCAGTATCTTAAGATTTAACTTTTCACTGTACTAATCCTTACGTTTTGTAGTGTGTGGATGGAAAACAAATCAGAGCGGTTCGATGCTATCATTTTTTTGCAGAGAAGGAGTACCATGTCATAGTTGATGCTTGTATAAAATACGTTGCACCAATGCCTGCGAAAGAACGAGACTGTTGATGCGAATAAATTCAATTTTCCAAGACGCAGGTTGTTTAAAGCATATATAGTAATTAACATCCATTTTCTAGAACATACTATAGCAGAGACGTGAAGTTTATGAGGGAAAATTTTTTATTGGTCGGGCAATAAAAGGATGTTGGCCCCCTAATTTTTACCCTTCCATACGCCTATGGACTTTAGTAATAGTAAAAATAATGCATGATGGATGGATGATATGACCATCGTATCGGAATATTGCCATCTATTATCATGTTTTGTTAAACATTAATTATACTATACAATTACTATATCCTTATTAATGGAGAAAGTACGATTTTTAATAAAGTATATTCATTAGTACAATTTGTACTGTTAGAATATGGAGGTAACTGGGTGCCATACTGCCATTCTTGCAAGTTTTGTGACAACAGTTCGCTTTTGTGACAACGGTTTAACATTGCGAAATTGTCACAATATTCTTAACAGTATTTTTTTAATGGCTAGCTTGGGAAAATTTCAACTTTATTGTCCATTTTATTGGATCTGTCATGATATACTAACGTTGATTAATAAAAGAAACAGAGAAACGAAAGTTCGCCTTCAGTGTTTACGTTTAATTAACAAAATTACTATAAACGTGTTCCTCCTGTTTACCATCTATTCAGTGTCCATCAACGTCGGCCAAATGTTTTTCCGACACCTTATTTTTTTCCCATACGCCCATGTCAAGTCAGTGTTTTGCTCATTTAATTAAATATTTAAATATAAACCATGACACTTTAAATATGTCTCTTCTTCAAATAAGCTTGGTTTTTAATTAATTGTAATTGTCATGAACACATCAAGATGAAGGTGACTGACGCGATAGTCGATATATCTCAGCTGCAGTATGTAAAGACTAATTTGCATACAACACGCCAAAAAGAACCAGACTATATATTAACTATGGTATAATGAATTTAAAATATGTTTCGCTGCTGGCTGTCATCTGGCCCTGTGGGACTATGACTTAGCCGTCTAGCGCAGCCCTAGTCCCAGGCCTTCCTGTGTGACGGCTGGATTGGTTTTGAACAGCGGGAGAAGATAATGTAACCTTACCCGAACTGCCACTCATGTATTTCCTTCCATATTGAAATATCTTCATTGTTCATCCCAAAGACATTAAAGCCCCGTTTACACTACGCTCAATTTTTGGTACGGCACGGATAAAATTGGTACCCGTACCACTTTTTTGATTCTTGGACTTCCTATTTAGCTAAGCCCCGTTTACACTACGCTCAATTTTTGGTACCGTACCACTTTTTGGTTCTTGGACTACCTAATTAGGTAGCCTAGCGTTGCGGAAGCGAAAAGTAGGGTTCTAGAACAAGACTGACAATGACCATGCCGGTAAAAATGTACATCATACGTGATACTCTGTTCTATGAACATACACGCCCACATGAAGAGCGTCGCCATCAGATGGATGTTGCTATTGACATTGCAACTTAATTATATTTTTTTCATCATCCGTTTATTAGAAACATTATATAAGCATACCACGACCCGAAAAGTCAAAATCTTGATAAAGTAAATCACGTTTCTGCGTGATATATTTAATGCAAAACTAGGTGGGAGTATGGTGCTTGACTTACTACAATTTCCTTCTAGTATAAATGTACATATATGGTGACATGTATATAGCTTGTTGTTGTACATATCGGTTATTGAAGGGCTTCAGTCAGAGGGCTTCAGTCTAGCACACGCCAAACTCTTTATTCATTAGGAAATAAACAGGAAAAACATTTTTACAGTTATATTGACTGGGAGCGAGGGAAACAGGCAGTAAATTTTGTGTGGACTTGAGGGTCACACAACATATACTGTTCCCAAAAAGTCCCGGTTACCAATTTATACTTTCAAAGAAAACAAAAAGCTCCGTAATTTCTACTCCATAAACTGGAAAATTTTATTTTTCAATAGCCTCGCGTGTAGGGCGTTCGCCTTTCGATTGGCGGGCATAATTTTGATGCGGGCAAATTTTCAAGATTTCTGGCAGGTTTTTACGTTGGAGACAGTTGAATTTCATGTGATACGTTCTCGTCCAAACACATGAACTTTGACACTTGGCGTAATAAAAGCAGATATATAAAAGTATTGTCCAACCGCAAAGAGCTGGGCAATTGATAAAACTAGAATAGTGAAGCGAATAGTGCGAATAGTCGACGAATAGTGCGAATAGTCCGCGAATAGTCGACGAATAGTGCGAATAGTCCGCGAATAGTCGACGAATAGTGCGAATAGTCGACGAATAGTACGAATAGTCCGCGAATAGTCGACGAATAGTACGAATAGTCGACGAATAGTGCAATAGGGACTTTGCAAGGCTTTGCA